GTCTCGGGATTTCTGATGTTTCTATTGAGTAAATCTCGAAAAAATATTAAAATTATATCTTCGATATAATATCTTATTTAAACTAGTTGTTATTTGTTAGTTGGTTTGAGTAATATCCTTGTGCAGAAAAAAGTTAAAAAAAATAAAACAGGCATGACAGTCTTTTTAAAAAGACCAAACAACAAAAAAAGAAAAAAATAACACTGCCTAATAAAAAAATTAACAGGGAAACAAGGAAACGTGTTAATAATAAAAAATTATTTATTTAAAATGGATTACCTATTATCTGGTCGAATTTATATGAATAATTTTGCAATAACATAAAAAAATGAATTCAACAAATTGTGAAAAATAATAAAATGATTTTTAAGTAATTGATATAAAATACTTAATATACATGTTTGAACTGGATTAATATAATAAATTGTTTATTTGATATTAACAAAATGATAATATTAAATTATGTGCATTTATTATCAGAACTGTAATGGTTATTTTTAAATAATTATGTTATAACAATGAAAATTAATTTATTTTGAATAAAAATGTAATTTCAGATAAATGATTTTTATTGAATATTTATTATTGGTAATTGTAATCCAACTTATAAATGTACTCAATTGATTCACTCAACTTTATTGACTATTTCAAACAACCTGATGAAAAGAAGCTCTTTATTTTAGAAGAATGTGTGAAAAATTACAGAGAAAAACAAATTTCTCAAAATGTCTTATTATTTAATTGTGAAATATGTTATGAAGATAAACCATACAGTGATACTTATGTTAATAAATGTGGTCATAGATTTTGCAAGTCGTGTATTCGTGATTCGATTAAAGAGCAAAAGACTAATACACGGCGAAAAGTTCATTGCCCACAGCATGGTTGTTCACAAGTTATTGAAATATCAGATATCAATTTATATGATTTAGTTGATGACAAACAGTTAATAAACGAATACACTGAAAGACTCAATAAAAAGATGTTTGAAGAACAGACAATTTTGTGTCCCAAATGTCACAACTCGTTGTTATCATTAAATAGCACTGTGAATGCGCAATGCCCACTCTGTAAACACGAGTTTTGTAAAAAATGTTTGTGTGTTTGTCACCCCGGAAAAACATGCGAGGAGTGGAAAAAACAAGTCGATGATGATAATGAGAACATGAGAAAAACAACGGAATGGATTAAACAAAACACAAAAATATGCCCAAAGTGCAAAAACCCAATTCGTAAAAATGGGGGATGTAACCACATGACTTGTAGGTTTGTTTGTACTGTTTAAAACACTGAAATGTTAACTTTTGATACAATATCATAAATACTGACATTAAGTTGTGGACATCAATTTTGCTGGCTTTGTATGGCCGACTACACAAATACTCATTTTAAATCGAATACACTGGGTGCAAACAATTTACTAATTGATTTTATATC